ACATGTTAGAAAACAATTTGAAAAACTTTTTTTGGGGGTAAAAAAGCGAATTGAAAAACTTAAAAATTGAAGCAAGTACCAAAGCCTGCGGTGTTAAAAAAACTAGGACTATTATGTACAGTCGGATAAAATGTAGAGTCAACGATTCCGTTTGAATATTTATTCAAAATTTTTATCGAATTACAAGATATTTTCATTTTCAATATTTTCGTGTCGTTTGAATTTCATTTCCAAATTTTTAAAAACCCGCCACTGCACTTTTCGACTTTTCGTCTCTCTCTCTCTCTTAAAACTCCCCCCAAATTCCTCTCATTCTCTCTCTAACCTTGAATCTGGGAAACACCTTTCTCTCTCCAAATCTCCCTCTGAATCTCTCTCTATTGCTCGTCGAAATGGCGCGTGACATTCAGCTTCCCTGCGACGGCGACGGAGTATGCATGCGATGCAAGACCAAGCCTCCGCCGGAAGAATCTCTCACGTGCGGCACGTGCGTCACTCCCTGGCACGTGTCCTGCCTTTCTTCTCCTCCCGAAACCCTTGCTTCCACTCTACAGTGGCATTGCCCTGATTGCTCAGGCGAAATCGACGATCCTCTTCCTGTTTCCGGCGTCGCGGGGTACGAAGCCGTTGGGTCTGACCTCGTAGCAGCGATTCGTGCGATTGAGGCGGATGAGTCTTTGACTGATGCAGCGAAGGCTAAGAAGAGGCAAGAGTTACTCAGCGGTAAAGCCGATGGGGATGTGGTTGAAGATGAAGACAAGAAAAAGAGTAATGGAGGTCTCGATGTTGATGTTTTGGCTGCTCTCGGAGAAAACTTGAACTGTTCGTTCTGTATCCAGTTGCCTGAAAGGCCCGTCACGGTTCGTTCTCACTCTCTCGCTCTGTATTTGGACTCTGTTATCAGTAGTTTACGAGACTTTTATGCTTTGTTAATGTAGTGGATCTAGTGCTTGTTCTCTTGGATTCTCTTACCTGTTTTCATATCTAGGGTTCTTCAATTGTTGAATGTCGTTTTTGGATATGATACTTTGATTTACTAATTTGAGGTTTGTAACCTAACACAGATCTAGCAGTAGTTTCGTTCCTTTTGTTGTTATAAAAAGGCATAGAGTTAACTTATGCTTCCCATTTGTGACAAACTGGTTAGTTGAGAGGTAACATGGTGACTAATTTATTGTGTTGTTGATTTTCTTTACACAACTTAGTATACATGACTGTATCTTGTGCACGCTTTGTTGATGGTTTTGATCTATTCTATTTTTGGTTTTTAGTTGCCGTTTATGAGCTGTTTCTTTTTATTCATTTTTGACAAATTTGGTGTTCTTTTCAAAAGATATAAACCATTAAGTTCTCCTTTTGTTGAGTATTCGATATTGTGAACTTTACGTAGTAGGAGTAGGAAGACTTTTTAGGTGTTACCATTTTTCTTCGTTTATAAATACGTATCCTTGACAAAGATAAAGACTATAAAGATGGTTTAATGGATATCTTGTACTTATCTTTTCAGACACCGTGTGGGCACAACTTTTGCTTGAAATGTTTTGAGAAGTGGATTGGTCAAGGGAAGCGCACTTGTGCAAAATGCCGCAGCCCAATCCCCAACAAAATGGCGAGCAATCCTCGTATCAACTCTTCCCTTGTGTCTGCTATTCGATTGGCAAAGGTCTCTAAAAGTGCTGCTGCGGGCACTGCAAAAGTTTTTCATTTCATAAGCAACCAAGACCGTCCAGATAAAGCATTCACAACTGAGCGTGCTAAAAAAACCGGGAAGGCAAATGCTGCCAGTGGCAGGATATATGTGACAATACCACCTGATCACTTTGGTCCTATACCAGCTGAAAATGATCCTGTCAGAAATCAAGGAGTTTTAGTTGGAGAATTCTGGGAGGACAGGCTGGAGTGTAGGCAGTGGGGGGCTCACTTCCCACACGTTTCTGGTATTGCTGGACAATCACATTATGGAGCTCAATCTGTGGCACTCTCTGGAGGTTATGAGGATGACGAAGATCATGGAGAATGGTTTCTATACACAGGAAGGTTTGCCTTTAAATTTTTAATAACTCCTTGTTTTTGGTCCATTTGATTCTGGTTCCCTTAAATAATCTTGTATATTCTACTTATCTCACGCATATAGAAGTAGCTATTCTCCAATCTTTTGAGTTTTGACTGACTTCCTCTTTTTTTGTCTTGAATATGTATGGATCTGTCACACAGTGGAGGAAGAGATCTCAGTGGCAACAAAAGGACTAACAAGGATCAGTCTTTTGACCAGAAGTTTGAAAAGTCAAATGAAGCTTTACGACTTAGTTGCAAAATGGGGTATCCTGTTCGAGTTGTCAGGTTATCATCTTTCTCACATTCTCATTTTTCCTTCAACTTTCCTATTTTAAACATTGTACCAGAAATGTAACATGTAATGCTTTTCTCTTTGTTAAAATTGATTTTTAAATGAATAAGAGTAGGTTGTTTGTCCTACAAAGTTAAGCTAAGCTTGCTGCAGTTAATAGCCTGTTCCTTGGATCTGTTACCTTTTGTGTTTTAGTTACCTTTTCTAGTTTTTATCTATCTTCATTGATACACTCTGAGCAAAAAGTGTTAACTCTTCAAATTATTTCTTTGTAAATGATCAGGTCTCACAAGGAGAAGCGTTCTGCATATGCCCCTGAGGAAGGAGTGAGATATGATGGGGTTTACAGGATTGAGAAGTGCTGGCGAAAAGTTGGAATACAGGTACGCATATAGCTAAGAATCGTAAATTTCCTCCTGTTCCTTTTTATCCAGAGCTGGTTTTTTTCTGCTGACCTTTTCTTTTGTTTTCCATAGGGCTCTTTTAAGGTCTGTCGTTACCTGTTTGTTAGGTGTGACAATGAGCCAGCTCCATGGACCAGGTTTGATCTACTTCTCGAAAGTGCCTTTTTCTATATTTTCTATTTGAGTTTGACGCTGTGTGTGATATACTGCAGTGATGAGCATGGAGATCGTCCTAGACCTTTGCCTACTATTCCAGAGCTTAAGATGGCAACAGACCTGTTTGAGAGAAAGGAAATTCCATCATGGAATTTTGATGTAAGTAAAGCCTCTTTCTTATTTTGGTTTCATAGCTTATTTCCAGGACACCTAGAGCAATTTTCAAATGGGAACGGTATTGAATTTTCTTCTGCCAGTTCTTTTTTTGTGATCTCTCCCTTGTACCTGCTGATGTGCTTACATGATCAGGAAGGTGAGGGTCAATGGAAATGGATGAAGCCTCCACCTGCTAGTAAAAAGGCAGTTAATGTTTTGGATCCTGAGGAGAGGAAGACTATGAGGAAAGCCATAAAGGCAGCTCACTCGAATACTGTGAGGGACAAACTTCTGAAAGGTCTCTGCCTCTGCTGTTAAAATATATCTGGAATTTTTTTTAATTGCATCAATTATCAAGTTCTGTTGTTGTTTGTGCTCACTGATTTAATTTGCGTTCTTCGAAAACTGAATACATCATTTTAAAAGACAGTCAATCTTTTTGTTACCTTCAAGCATGGGATTTGAAAGTGAAACTATCCATGTAACTTTATAGTGTTTAAGAGATGCATAGGTTTCATGTTCATCTGACAGTAGATGAGATTGGATACAATTTGTTTTTTAATTCCATAAGGTTTGCCTTGGCTCTTTTACTGTAGCTTACATCTATACATCCAAAAGTTATTTGTTAGCATGAATTGCATAGCTTACTCTCTTACTGCCGAATGAGATTTAGTGCAGGTGATTAACTATGCATTATGTTTGTGTTTGTGCATTTCTAAACTACTTTGAAGTTATTGTCTTTTCTAGGGAGTAGAAAGTAGTTTGTGCATGAAGGCTCATGCTAAGGTTTCCTGGGAAGTTCTAGTAGATAGTTATTGTTTCCAAAAGGGAACTTCTAGTATTAAACACCCTTTATTTATTAACCTAATTTAGAATGTCAACATCCTTTTTATTAGCTTTGTTCTGATACTTTCTCCAATCCATCCATTATATTACATATGAATGCACATATTTCTTTGGTTCTGCTGGGTCCCAAATCCATACAAATGTATTTAGGACAATGTGTATGGCAAAATGGTTTTGTACATATCTAAATCATTGTTGGGTTTTTGTTTCTGCAGAATTTAGTTGCCAAATCTGTCGTCAAGTGATGACTCTTCCTGTGACAACGCCTTGTGCTCATAACTTCTGCAAGGCATGCTTAGAGGCTAAGTTTGCTGGGCAAACTTTAGTGAGAGAGAGAAGCAGAGGTGGACGGACACTACGGGCACAGAAGAACATCATGAACTGCCCTAGTTGCCCCACTGACATTTCTGACTTTCTCCAGAACCCTCAGGTAAACAACATCATCATCTGTTTTTCATGCATTTCTCCCATATCGCACTTCTTTCATATAAACCATATGACTACAATAGTGAATAATTGCACTAGAATTGATTTGGTTCAGCCTTAAACTGTATGTTTTTAGTACCTTATGTCGCCAGTATCATCAAAGACTTCCATAACATATATTCTTGTGTTTTGTTAATCATAATATTTGGAGTAAAATCTTCGGATTCATTTTGTCATGTGATTGTATAAGCGAAACTTATTCATAAGTCTGAAAACTATATTATTTAGTGGATTATTCATGGTGCTGGAATTGTGTGTAAACAGGTGAATAGAGAAGTAATGGAGGTGATAGAGAAGCTGAAGAACAAGGAAGAGCCTGTAGATGCAGCAAGC